GGGACCCCCGGCTCCTTCAGTGCAGGGCTGCTCTCAATGGCTGCTCCTTCCAGTCTCATCAATGCCTGCCATTCCGGTGCCGGACCCGCGCTGTCCCTGCCGGCTCCGTGTCCCCGTGTCGCTGCCCGCCTGCATTCCTGTGTCACTGCATCCCTTCTGGATCTGCATCCCTGGGTTTCCGTGTCTCTGTGTCCCCGCTGCTCTGCGCCCCCTGCCTCCCTGCATCTCTGTCCCTGCGTCCCTGGGTCCCTTCCATTTCTGCACCCCTGCAGCCCCGGGTTCCTGAATCTGTCCTGAATCCTGCAGCTCTGCATCCCTGCATTTCTGTGTCCCCGCATCCCCGGGTCCTTTCCAGCTCTGCACCCCTGCAGCCTTGGATCCCTGCATCCTTACCAGCTCTGCATCCCTGCTCCCTTCCAGCTCTGCATCCCTGCCGCCTCGGATCCCTGCTGGCTCCATATCCCTACAGCCCTGCATCCCTGCACCCCTGCAGCTCCGTCCCGTCCCCTGGTCCCTGCAGCCCCGTGTCCCCGCAGCAGCACTGCATGCAGTGCCAGCCTCCCCACGCAGCGAGCGCTGAGGATGAGGATGAAGATGAAGATGAAGGCACGGCGGAAGAGGCGGCAGCCGCGGCTCCTCGCGCGCGTTTCCGCCCCTCGCTTTACAGCACGGGCCGCTCCGTAGGGGGCGCAGGGGTTCGGGGGTCTCTGTGCCCCACGTTTCCCCCCCTCCCCACCTCCAGGTCCTCGGCAACGCCACGGCCGCTCGCTACGTGGCCGGGATCGGCGTTCATTGGTACCTGGACGGCATCGTTCCCGCACGCTGCAGCCTGGCGGCCACGCACCGCCTCTTCCCGCACCACCTCCTGCTCTACACCGAAGCGTGCAGCGGGTTCCTCAGCCTCCGCTTTCCCGTTTCTCTGGGCTGCTGGGAGCGCGGCGTCAGCTACAGCCACAGCATCCTATCGGTGCGCCTCCCCCCACCCGCACGGCGCCGCGTTCGGCCCCAAACCCACCGCCCAACCCCCCAACCCCCCCTTAAGGTACTGAACAACTTCGTGGCCGGCTGGACGGACTGGAACCTGGCGCTGGATCTGGAGGGGGGGCCCAACTGGGTGGAAAATTACGTGGACAGCCCCGTTATCGTGGACGGCAGCCGGGGCGTCTTCTACAAGCAGCCCATGTTCTACCATATGGGGCACTTCAGGTGGGGCTGCGGGCGGCTCCGGGGGTCCGGCGGTGGGGCGACCCCGCGACCCCCCCTCCATCCCGGTCCCGTTCCGCTCCCGCAGTAAATTCATCCCCGAGGGCTCCCAGCGCGTTGGGCTGCGCGTCGCCCGGCGCTGCCGCGGCTGCGAGTTGGAGCACGTGGCGTTCCTGCGGCCCGACGGCGCCATCGTCCTCGTGGTGCTCAACCGGTCCGTGGCCCGCGACCCCCCGTCTCGACCCCCGGCCCGACCCCCATCCCGGCCCCGCATCCTGACCCCGCAACCCTGCCCCGCAGCCCGAGCCTGCAAGTCCAACCCTACAGCCCCGACCCCCATCCCGGCCCCACAGTCTGACCCCCATCCCGGCCCCACAGCCCCGCCCCCCATCCCACTCCCATAGTCCTGACCCCCATCCTAGGCTGGCCCTACAGCCCCGACCCCCGTCTCAACCCCCGGCCCGACCCCCTTCCCAGCCCTGCA